CGTCCCCCGAGAGCGCGTGCGCACTCAACTCGGAGCTTCGCATCCTCTCGAGCGCGCGCACGCGGCGCCCCTCTAACAGACATCTGTAGAGCTGCGGGCTGGGTAACACCCAACACATTTGCAAGGTTTTACAATCTGCGAGTGGAGCCGGTTTCCTCAAGGGTATTAGGTAACCCTTGGTGATTGAGGAAACAATTCGGTAGGGTGTTGAAACACGCTTGCTGCGCCATTTTCCCTAACACGGAGATACGTGCGCCTTTTTATCTGTCAGTAAAGTTCCCCGTCAGGTGAGCCCTGCAGATTCCTCCGTGGCCCCCAGCACTGACTCAGCGGAGGAGTCACTTGCTGGCCCACTACGTTGTAGGTCTGCCCGCTGGTCAGCCCGCGTTTTGGGTAAAGGTGCCTGCTATGAGTGATCCCCACTAGGCGATCCCATATGCTTATTCCGCCACGGTTAAGTCCCCCCCCTGGGCGGACCCGTGTCTTCCCTCCCCGCTAACCACTCTTTTGCTATGCGTACTCCCCCTTTTTAGGGCTAGTCCATAGGTAATTCTGCCATCTATCCCCCCTTGGGTAACGGATGGCCTCCGCAGCGTCCTCCCTATCGGGATTGCACGCTTCCCAACGTACTGTCGTATTTTCCTAGAATTATCTAGATGCTCACGACTTCCCAAAAAATATATATAAATCCGTAAAACTTCTGTTGAAGTAGGATAAATTAGGGCCAGGGACACGTTGGAGGACCGCGCCCCCCATGATGTGGGTGCGTCACGCTTGCTTGACTATCTCCTCATCGGGGGTGTTGGTAAGGTGCAGTCATTATGGCGCTTTCAATGGGCTCCCAATGCGTGGATTTTACAATCAAATCCACTTATAGTGCTGAAGTTCCCCCCGAAGGGGAACGTTCGAGGTTACTAAAGTAACCCTTCGTTCCCCGAGGAGGGGAACGGAAGCACTATACTCCGTCGCCATAATGACTGTCCCTTAGCTGTTGAAAGTCTCTTCAGCTTAAAAAGGATAGCGTCTGCTGGCGCCAGGTGAGCTTATATACTCAGTTGATTGCTTATGCCGCTCACCTGCGCAGGCTTGCGCTGCCAATTCATTCTTAATTGGCCCGTTCAATACTCTTTCAGACGAGTAGCTTCTGAACCGAACCTCCCAATGCGTGGATTTTACAATCAAATCCACTTATAGTGCTTCCGTTCCCCTCCTCGGGGAACGAAGGGTTACTTTAGTAACCTCGAACGTTTCTTGTGATTGAAAACACTGATGATTTGTGATTTATGACAACTGCAGTTGCGTTTCTTTCTGACTACCGGTGTAGTAAACGCTTAAAGGGTTAATGAGCAGCAACTGACTGAACTGTAAATGCAGAGTTGGTTTATTTCTGTTTGCAGAGTTATTTAATTTTACTTCATTAAAAACAGCAGATGTGTGCAGAAGAAGGGTTTGGGTGCTCGAGCACCTGACCTTTTTTTCTCTTGGAGTAAAGGAGGAGTATATGATGTTTGCAGCACAGAATGATGACGCATGTCCCTTGAAGATTATGTAAAAGTCACATGAAATCCGACACAACCAATCACATTGCGTTCGCATTGCAAATTCACGTGTTTAACAAGAGTCCTGTTTTAAACCCATTTAAATGCCAATATTAGGTTAGTCATAGCACCACCTTTAAGTGTTTACCAGCATATTGACCTCTATCATCCTTTCAACGCTGCATGCAGGTTTAATTGTTAGATAATGTTAGGCTCTGAAGGTTATCAGTGCCAAAAACACTAAGAATACTGTACTGTAGATTTAATGTTGATTTTGGTCACATAAATAAGTGTTTATTTTGTCTCTCAGGGAACTGTATTTAGAAATTCATCATTAAATTAACTGAAACTCTGTGAAAACAAAACACACAAACACAAGAGCTATATCTATACAAAGCTTAAAGTGTCTACTTTTAAATGCAGTGAGTGCATGTTGCAGCAAATATATCTTGATAAAGTAATCAGTATGAAACCAACACTATGGGCCCTATCATACACCTGGCGCAAGGCGTGACGCAATAATTGTTTGCTAGTTTCAACTTGACGCAAGAGTCGTTTTGAGCCACTCTGTTTAAATAGCAAATGCATTTGCGCTCATATGTGCACCCATAGGCGTTCTGATCTAAAAAATGAGAGCGTTTGTCTTGCACAGAGCGTGTTAGTTGTGTGCCTGGCTTACACATTGCTTAATACAGACAGGGTGTATAGCAATACGCAAATAACTTTACAAATGAAAAATAATTAAAAAAATTAAGGATATATATAGTGTAACACGGGGATTGACAGAGACAACTGAGGTTTGGATCCACATGCAGGTTTTATTCGGATAGTCAGGCAAGCAATGGTCTACACGGGTGCAAACAGATGTATAAAGGCAATCCAGAAACGTAGTCAAAGTAACAGGCGAGATGACGGTAGGCAGACGGCAGACTGAGACAAAAAGGTAAACAAAGCTAAGGTCAAAAGACGGGAAAACAAGACAAGAATAATGCAGTGCAATGTCACTATACAGCTAACAAGACTCAGCAATGTGAATGAGTGAGTGTGCTGCTTTAATAGTGTGTGTAATCAGTCTTTGACAATATTCAGGTGGTGGGAGAGTTATCAGTCAGAATAAGGAAGCAAGTGTTTGTGTGTGAGTGAAGTGCATGTATGAATATGTAGTCCAGAAATGGCTGATTTGGAGTCCATGATTATTGTAAATAAGATCCAGTGAACTTAGGAGTTAAGATCACTGGTGATTGTGACATATAGGATATAATAAGGATATATAGCCTATAGGACATAAATATAAAGGATTAAAATATTACAAAACATATTATTTTATAGCCTACATAAATATAGAAAACAAAGTTTCATGCCTTCTTCTCTGGAGGCTTTTTTAGTTTATTCATATGCATAACAGCTTTTGTATAATGTTGTTATTATTATTAGCAGTATTATTTATTATGTGCATATGTATATTTGTTATTTTTAAAACAAGCTTAGATTTTCTCACCTGTCAGGTTTTAGACCATATAGGGCAGAGCATGTGTACTTGGATGTAACTGTTGTTGTTTTTTAAACACACAGCGTTATTATTGTTAATTAATTCATCTAGAAATTACAACTGAATTTAGAAATAATTTTTGAACAAACATTTGAGCTAAACAAACGAAATTAATTATTTATAGGCTAATGGATGTCTGTGCCTACAAGGTTTCCCTATCAACGAAAGTGAAAGTGAAAGTTAATAATGAGGAGGCTTATCTCTCATTCTCATGCTGTAGATGCTCTGTTTAACCGTTTACTTGCTAGTGAAATGCTCAGTTTTTCCACTTACAAAGTTTGATTGTTTTTTTCTCAAAACACACCCATAACTCATTAAGAAAATAAGCTCAACCCTTTTAGACCATGCGCCACTGCGCGAAGCGGAATTTTCCATCCTTAAATTAGCAAAAGTGGATTCCGAGACGCCCTAATATAGGGTATATGCCGAACTAGTGTTGTTCCCATACTGATAAACTTCCGGTGACCTGTTATTGTGATTTTTTTTGTTTTCAATTTTTTATGGTTCTTTTTACAGCATCGATGTTGTAATGTCATTAAAATACATTAAGTTAAATAAACTTCATTCATTTAGTTGTACAAGCATGAAACCAGAAAAAAAGCTTTTTACTCGCACGCGCCCGTCAGAATCGGCAGGCTAACACAAAAGCTCCATTGAACATACTGGGGTAAAATAAATGCTTATAAAGACATGGCGGGGAAAAATGTAATATAATGCAGTGCTTCTTGTACAATCTGAGACCCACTTTATATCAGATATAACTCAGCCAGTAGAGATTGCTGATTTTTTTAAAAAACTAACCTTAAACACGCCGATTTTAACATTGGCATACAGTTCCCCGGAAGCGCTTAACCCAGGTTACTGGCAAATTAAAAGTTCTATTAACATGCTTCGGCATATACCGTATTGCTTTTGCGCCCTGCGCTTTCACTTTGCGCATGGATTTTCAAAATAGAGCCCTATGACAGTCTAAGCTCATTATTTTTAATGTGACCACACCCTCAAGGCTTTGTTATTACAATTGTCCACATGAGACACATGCAGCATGTAAACTAGTTTTCAAAAAAAGCTGCGGAATCTCCATGAATACATAAGAGATATAAATAACAAAAATATATAAAAGGACCTAAAATATTATTTTGATTTAAAATAATTGTTTTTTATATTTAAAATAATATTTTGTTCTTGTGTTTAAAGCTTTTGTTGATGCATTACTTCAGTGTCTCTGAGGCATTTAGAGTTTTTTTTTTTTTTTTTTTAATGCTGGATTAATCCACAAAGTTTTGAGAGGGGTGTGGATGCAGACTTGATGGACCTGCAAGCTTAGCTGCATCCAATGCTTTTAATGCGCACCCCAAACCCTACCCTTCACAGTGATACTTTCATTTAGTGGATTGTGTCTGACATTGCTAGTCTGAGATTTGCAATATCAGCTTACAAATTCAAGTCTGCACCCAGATACTATTGATACAGTAGTTTTCTGTTTTGTGATGGTTGTGGGAGTGAAATGCTTTTTGAACAAGAAAAATGTAGTACTAGAATGTATATTGTCAATAATATGGTTCAACAAAACAGCAAAACAGCTCATAAGGAAATTAATAATTAGTCATAACTAGTTGCAATTATCCTACACATTTTTTCAGTTATACATCATAACTTGTAGCAGATTTAAGTTTACAATTCAAATAAACTTTTCAGAAAATTTTGCAATTGGTAATGATGTACATGGACTATCTATCTATCTATCTATCTATCTATCTATCTATCTATCTATCTATCTATCTATCTATCTATCTATCTATCTATCTATCTCTGTCTGTCTATAAATATATATCATTAGAAAAGAGTGTGTGTATTTCTTCTGTTAGATTGATTGATTAACCCTCTTTTTTTTTCTTTTTTTTTTTTTGCAGGAGAGACCAGAGAAGAACGCACTTTCAGAAACTGGATGAATTCTTTGGGTGTCAACCCTCATGTCAATCATTTATATGGGTAAATCACACACATTTACTCTTCTTTTTACAGCCTGCTCTACCAAATGGTTGACCATATTTTGACTGTTTATAATAATTACTATTACTGTCATTTAAAGAAGGACTGTTTTAAATAAAGGTTTACGCTACACAGCATTGTTGGTTTACAAAAAAAAAATTTAAATTGAACAAACATAATTCTGTTGCACACTATACTTGCTCTAAACTTAATTTTGGTTTTACTGTAAAAAAAAATACAAGAACACATGTTAAATGAGATTCTGAATTATTGTATAGCATACTTCAAAAAATTACGTTTTTTTAGAATTTAGAATTTTAGAATTCAAAGATGTTTTATTTAGATTTTTTTTAAATAAATTTGTCTTCACTTCATATTTCAGCTTATGTTTTATGATTTTTCATACCATATGTATTAATTATGGTACTTTTACTATAAACAAACATATCAACTATTTGGTAGAGGCTGATATTTTAGAAATTATGGGATGTGTTAAAAAATGCATTGAGTCTGTTAACTGGTGACATCAGGAGTTAAGAAATGCAATCCAATTTTTTTCTTGGAGGGGCTGTTAAAGGGTTAATGTAGGATTGCAATCTGATTTTATGTCTAATTCTAATCCAGTTGAAAGTAAAGTGAATGTCTTTATGTTTTACATTTTAAGACTTTATTAGATCAGATTGAAAAAATGAAAATGATTTTTTTTACTCTCCTAGTGACCTCCAAGATGCTCTAGTTATCTTGCAACTTTATGAGAAAATCAAGGTACCTGTTGACTGGAACAACAAAGTCAACAAGCCTCCATATCCTAAACTAGGGGCCAACATGAAAAAGGTATTCATTTATCAGTAATTTTTACAAAATTTCTGGACAAATCAACAAGTTCAAACCTGCAAACAAGATATGCTTTCTAATTTGCTACTTTTCTTGTTGGATAATGTCCAGTTGTGTTTTCTGTATTTACATGCATTTGTGTGTCTGTGTGTACAGCTGGAAAACTGTAATTATGCTGTGGAACTTGGGAAGACCAAAGCCAATTTCTCATTAGTGGGCATCGGGGGGCAAGATCTGAATGATGGAAACCCAACTCTCACTCTTGCCCTGGTCTGGCAGCTCATGAGAAGGTGACACTAAAAGTATTAACATAGACAATGAGGTATAGTAGCAACATGGCTTATCGGACAATGGGCATCCATCTTGACAGTTTAGATTTTTTTAGAGATGATTTTACATGAATCACTTGATTTCCATTACATTCAGTAAAAAGGCCAACTGGAATGCACGTCCTCAATACATTTTTTTTCTAATCTGAGCAGGAGAACCTGTAACACTTGATTGAAAAAAGAAATCACACTTGTGCATGAGAAATTATAAATGGTGTATTGACATGACAGTCGTCATTTTAATCTAAAATCCGATTTTTAATATGTAACAAATATAACAATGTTATTCCACAAGTACTCATTTGCGACTCTCATATGGAAACATTGGGTCTCATTCACTAATAACAAAAACTATGGAATACACAAGACGTGTCACTCTTATAGTTTTGAAAAGTGTAATGATCAATATGGCGAATGAAGCCCTGCCTTTCAGTGCAGGAGCCAATCATCGATTGATATAGACTAGGGATGTCAACCTAAATTCCTAGATTGCCGCACCCCTGCACAGTTAAGTTCCAACCCCAATTAAATACACCTGATCAAACTAATTGAGTGCTTTAGTCTTGTTTGAAACCTACAGGTCAAGCGTGTTGAAGCACGGCTGGAACTAAACTGTGCAGGGCTGCGACCCTCCAGAAATTGAGTTTGACATCCCTGGTATAGACTGACAATACTCCAAGACATGGGCTTGGAGCAGACATTAGTTTCTGCAAATTTTGTGTGATTCAAACGTTTACAAATTAAACTAAAGAGACCGTTGTTTAATTTAAATGGTGATTCTTAGTATGAAATTTAATTGTATACTTGGCAAGTGATTTTGGAGAATTCGATGTTACCCCATTCAAATAGAATGCCTGAAGCATACTGCCCGAGAGACAATTCAAAAGGCCTAGGGCTACACTTCTCACCATGCATTGTATCTTTTCTAAACATACAGTTTAGTGTAAAATGATGTTTGTTGCTAAGAAAACTAAAACAAACAAACAAAATTATATTTTAATTGAACACATCACAATGTACAGTACACATGCATTTTCTGAAATGGCACAGCTGAAAATCTATGGTTAAAGTGCCACCCAGTGACCAAAAGCTGCTGGCACACGTAGGTACCTCTGCGGTGGCGCTACTACTGAAGTAGTTACATCTGTATATCACACTTGAGATTGGCTGTGTTGCTGTCACTGCCACTACATAAAAGTATTTTAAATACTGGAGTAATGAAGAAAAATAATTAAACATGATGACAGTGGTATGAAAGAATGAATGAATGAAAGAATGTTCAAGACCAACCGATTTAGATGAACATTTTTTTTATTTTTTTTATTCATTACAATGTTTGTTTACATATGTTGAATGCTGAATTCAGAAATGCTACCACTTTTAGTACAAGTTTATCATCAATAACATAAAATAATTATTAAGTATTATTTAAAAAAATTAAAGTATGGCGGCAACAGGCCAAATCAGTTACCAGGCCACTTGGAATCCTTCCAGTGTACTCAATGGCCAGTCCAACCCTGGTCAAAAGATGTGTTTGTTCATAGTGTTCGATGATGCAGATTAGAGGTAAAACATGTCTTTCCACTTACCTACAGGTTTCTACTTATTCTGACCCCTTAAGTATTTCTCCTTCCAGTATTACAGAAAATGTAGTAGTCATATTAACTGTTAGGATTTGTTATTTAACTAATCGTAATATTGCCAAAAATATAAATGCCTTGGTTGCCACGTGATTGTAATTATGATTTGGTACAATAGCAGCATCCAAGAATGATCTAGTCCTTTAAGAGCAAAGATGGGCCAATTTGCCAACAAATATGTGGGAAAATTATTGAAATCTTTTAAAACAATGTTACTCGAATAAAGATAGAAATACATTTGGATATTTCACCTTCAACAGTGCATAACAAAATTTAAAGATTCAAGGAATCTTGACATATTTTAGTGCATAAAGTACAAGGGCGCAAGCCTAAGATGAACAACTGTAATCTCTAAACTGTCAGGTGGCACTGCATCAAGAACTCTCATTCATCTATAAGTGATATCATCACATAGGCTCAGTGTGCTCCAGACCAAAGAAAAGAAATGATCATACATGTTACCAGCAACAAATTGTTGTGTCAGTGCCCTTGTCAGGTAACTAGCACTTCTGTGATGGCACCATTAATGAAAATACATAGAAATTTTGGAGCACAATGATGCCTTCCAGAGAAGCTTGTGCATTATTCAACAAGACAATGCAAAACCACATTTAGCAAACATTAGCAAGTCCTGGCTGTGGAGAAAGATGATACAAGTACTGGACTGGCCTGTCTGTCAAAAATGTGAAACATGTTCACATTTTAAAGTTCAAAATGCAACAGAAAATCCTTAATGGTACCCACCTTAAGACTTGTTTGCTGGAAAAATGGGACAAAATTACACCTGAAACACTTGTTGTCTTCAGCCCCTTTACATATTTTAAGAGTTGTGACAAGGAATGGCAACAATACACAGTGGTAAATGCTTTACTGTTCCAACTTTTTTTAAAATGTTTTGCAAGAACCAAAATTGGAATACGTGTTTATTTTGGGAAAAAAAAACATATATAAAATAAAAATCACGAAGAACACATTGGATAATGTTTGTTGTAATGTCTGAAATGAAATACAAGTCTTTGTAAATTTTATTATTACTTCTTTTTTTTTCAATTGTGTTTTCCATACTATCCCAACTTTTTAAATTTGGGGTTATGCAACTATTTGTTAATGAACTGTACACCCTTTGTATTTTTTATATTTTAAGTTATATACAGACAGTTTTTGTTGTTATAAAAAAATGCACAGTATCATTAAATACTATCTTACTTTTGTATCTACACCGCAATCTGATAATATCCCCTTGGCTCCTGATACTGGGTGTAGGCTATTAAATCTATTAGAATTTTTTTTCTCTCTCTTTTTATTTGACAAAAAATAAATAAATACAGGCGAAAGCAGTGGCGCAGTAGGAAGTGCTGTTGGCGTTTCTGTGTGGTTTGCATGTCCTCCCTGTGTTCGCGTGGGTTTCCTCCGTGTGCTCCGGTATCCCCCACAGTCCAAACACATGCGGTATAGGTGAATTGGTTAGGCTAAATTGTTCGTAGTGTATGAGTGTAAATGAGTGTTTATGGGTGTTTCCCAGAAAAGGGTTGCAGCTGTAAGGGTATCCGCTGCATAAAAAACATATGCTGGATAAGTTGGCGGTTCATTCTGCTGTGGCAACCCTAGAATAATAAAAAGACTAAGCCGAAAAGAAAATTAATGAATGAATAAATAAACACTTAATTTTGTGAATACTGTGAAAACTGATGGCAGCCATCTTGTGAACTGAGAAACTGGCCATCTTGTCCTTTGATGGATTGGCAGAGGCCATTTTATGAGCTGGCTACGGTCTGGACTGATGAGCAGGAGACAGGAGTATAGGTTATGCCAGCATTGGTGTAGAGTTTGAATGAGCAGCAAACTCTTTCACCAGCAGATCTTGCTGTCTGTTACACATCCCCCAAAAAAATCCATGGTGAAGGGGGAAACCAAAGAGAGCAGTGCAAAGTACATATAAACTCCATTAGCATCCCTCAAGAACCAGCACGGGTGAGGGTAGATTTTAATGGTTCATTTAGTCTATAAAAAAGTAAACGAGAGCATAACCTGGTAATTATGAAGTGTTGGCAATGTTTAAATTATCCTAAATGTGGTTCTCAAGGAAGCACTTACCTTGATACAGATGGACTAATATTGCAAACTAATAATGTTCTTTTTTATTTATTTATTTTTTTTATCTGTGTTCACTTCTAGATATACTTTAAATGTACTAGAGAACCTGGGTGATGGGCAGAAAGTCAACGATGATGTTATCGTCAGCTGGGTTAATAAGACTTTGTCACAAGCAGGAAAATCAACTAAAATATCAAATTTTAAGGTCCACATTCTTTTATTTATTCAGTTAACATTATATATTAATATAATAAATATTATTCATAAGTTAAACAAGTACATGCATATGTTGGTTCAATGTCAGAAGTTTGTGTGAATTGTGGATTGTAGGACAAAGAGATCAGCTCCAGTCTGGCAGTCTTAGATCTGATTGACGCCATCCAGCCCAGCAGCATAAATTATGACCTAGTGAAGAGAGGAAGTCTGAGTGATGGAGACAAACTGGACAATGCAAAGTAAGATTTTATGTGTTCAGTTTACTTTAAGCAGTAGTAACTGCAGGTGTAAATGTATGAAGAAAAAACATAAATGCCATTAGATATACCAGAATTTAGGTCTATCATATTTCATAGTGTGCTAAGTTTTTATCCTTGTCTTGCAGATATGCTGTTTCCATGGCCAGGAAGATTGGCGCTCGTGTGTACGCCCTGCCTGAGGATCTAGTAGAAGTCAAACCCAAAATGGTGATGACTGTGTTTGCTTGTCTAATGGGCAGAGGTATGAAAAGGGCTTAAAATTATACTCTGTGGACAATCAAATACTGATGTCCTTACCAAAAGCCATTTTGCTGGTTGAAAGGCTTCTGGTTTATTAAATTCTTCACAACCACAATAAAAATGGCAATAGGTGTTATTTTTTTTTAACTATTATTATTATTTCTTTTCTCTTCTTTTTTTTTTTTCCTTTTTCGTTTGTAGGGCAAAGTTAAAATTGGCTAAAAGTTGTGGAAAATGATGACTGGTTCTTTTAGATCAAAAATGTAAATATAAAAATATATATACAAAGGGCGCAAATTCATATAAAATTTTAATGAATTGTAGAATGGCAAAACCATTTGTGTGTTGAATTCAATTCATTACTCTTTTTTCAGTATTGTTTATGTAAGCAATAAAATAAGTGTGTATGATTGATAGGTACAGTTTTACAGAATTCTTTAGACACAAATGTTACAACTAGCCCAACTGGATACAGCATTGCTTCTGTACAGAACATGCTTATGTTTGAATCATAGAACTGGAGTGCTTTTTTTTTTCTTAAAGATTATACATGCTACAGAATTTACCAGAAATGTTTTAACACAAACGTTTCACTAAGACACAATAACACATTCCATAGTCAAGTGTCAGTGTACTTTTGCCTTATGTTTATATATATATATATATATATATGTATATATTATAATAACTCTGAATAGCTTTTTTTTTATAAAAGACCTCAAAATGAACTATGCATGATCTGTATTTCTTTTCTTTAAAGTGATATACTCCTCATTTAAAATATTTAACCATAAAATAATACATGATGTAAGTTAAAAAGATGACAAATAAACTGCTTTTGATAAACTCACATTTGGTTGGTGTCTTACATTCGCAATGTCTGTACAACTGAAAAAAAAAACATCAACATACAACCAGGTATAGTATATCAGTTTCAGCAGTTTCACCTCCCTCATTTTTTTGTAAAGGCTAATTTATATTATAAGTGCACATGTGTGGTCAGGTACAGCCTTCGCACTATCACAGACCCCTCACCTTTGCTTACGCCTACGCTGGTGCACACCTCTCAAAAAATGTAACTACAGAGAGTCACGTGACGTGCTGATGAACCTAGCCGCACTCGAGTAGAGCTCCGTACATTCGGCCCCTTTCTTGCTGATTTTTCCTGTTGATTTATTAATATTACTTTCTCAGATAGCACACAGTTGGAAACAGCATGAGTTGTTTTTCTAAGTTGATTAAGAAAAAATCCAAGCCTCAGGTGGACAAGATGGCGAACACTGTAGCGCACTGAGGATATTCTAAAGAGTGAGATGACTGTGATGCAGAACGAGTTCGCTTCTCATATGTCAGTTGTTCAGTCAATGTGCTCCAAACTGGATCTTCTAACAGGGGAAATGAGAGAACAAAAGAAAGATGTCGCAGACCACGATAGACGAGTAACCGAGCTAAAGCAACAGGTAGTGGATTTACAGGATCGTAGTAGGCGCAGCAATTTACGTCTGATTGGATTGCCCGAAAGTGCCGAAAAAGACGACCCGATGGGTTTTATTGAAAAGATCGCTGCCGATGTGGCTCCCGTCTCTAGCGGGAAAAGATATTGAAGTGGAACGAGCGCATCACGTGTACACAAGGCTGTCCTCAGATCGCGCTAAACCATGGGTTTTCCTCTTTAAATTACTTCGGTACACATGATGGTCATGATGGAAATTTGTGCAGATTAACTTTGAGCCCGCCAGATGGCATTTTAACCCTAAATTGTTACAGGATGAAAACCTTTGCTGTCAAATCAGAAATAAATTTGCTGAGTTTATTGAAATTAACAAAGGTTCAATTTGAACACTGAAATGAACACTTTGGAATGCAGTTAAAGGATTTATAAGGAATAACTCAATTTCATATGCCTCCTTTCTTCAGAAAAGCCGTCACAAAAAGATTGCTAAACTAGAATTACAGCTCCAGAATCTGACTAGAGATGATCAATGTTGTTTTTCAAACAATACACTCAGCAAAATTTGACAGTTAGGTCTGAACTCCAGGGCAAAATCCCTCATTCAAAGATCCAAGCAAAATTATTATTTTCAAAGGAGCAGACCAAGCCATCTTTTAGCTCTAAGACTACGCAACAGTGAAAAGTTCGCTAATATCTCAGCAGTAAAATCCCAATCTGGGCTCATTGTGACAGACCCCAAAGATATTAACATCGTCTTTCGTTCTTTTTTCTCTAACCTTTACACTTCTTCTACTAATGGCATCCCTGACTCTTTTGTATCTTTTCTCTCTAGTCTTGATTTACCTAGGTTGTCAGATTTAGATGCAGAATATTTGGCAGAGCCGATCACTTTACAAGAGCTGGAATCAGCAATTCGAGCTATGCACAAGGGTAAATCTCCAGGCATAGATGGTATTCCAATCGAATTGTATATTACTTTTTGGTCAGATTTAGTGCCCTTTATGTTAGATATGATAAATTTTTTAGTTACAGAGTGCTTTTTTCATCCATCTATAAATATGGCTGTTATTTCTCTCCTGTTAAAAAAAAGATAAAGATCCGACCTCTTGTTCTAGCTACCGGCCAATTTCTTTGATTGGGACTGATGTTAAATTATATGCTAAAGTACTATCTTGTCGTTTAGAAAAATTCATAAATATGCTAGTCCATCATGACCAAATAGGATTTATCAAATCTCGCTCCGCTACGGATAATTTGCGTAGATTATATCATATTATGAATTCATCAGATATGTTATCTTCTCCCGCTGCAGTATTATCTCTAGATGCAATGAAAGCTCTCGACCAACTAGAATGGAACTATTTATGGGCAGTTTTACAACATCTGGGCCTAGGATTGAGTTTTATAAACATGATAAAAGTCCTGTACGCCTATCCAGCAGCTACTGTACTCACAGGCTGTGTTTGTTCCAATCCATTTTTTATACATCGAGGTACTCGTCAGGGTTGCCCTCTCTCTCCTCTCTTATTTGCCCTATCCTTGGAACCTTTAGCCCAAGCAGTCCGACAATCTGAACTATTTCTCCTATATCTATACGGAATACTTATCATCATATTTCTTTGTTTGCAGATGACATCTTAGGGCCCTATCATACACCCGGTGAAATGTGGCGCAAGGCGCGGCACAATAGTCTTTTGCTAGTTTCAGCTTGGCGCAAGAGTTCTTCTGAGGCGTTGCACCACGCTGTTTAAATAGCAAATGCATTAGCGCTCATATGTGCGCCCATAGGCATTCTGGTCTAAAAAGGAAATATCTGAGGCGCACTGCTGCCGCGTTGCTATTTTGAAAAACTAAAATAGATTTTTCATTAGACCAAAACAAACCTGGTCTAAACTCCGGGTTGCGCCTCGCTTACACACTGCTTAATACGCACCAGAGAGCAATAGGCAAATATCTTTACATATGAAAAAATTTTAATATTAAGGATATATATATAGAATATAATAGGAATAGATATAGGATATAAATATAAATAATTAAAATATTACAGAACATTATTTTCTAGCCTACATAAATATGAAAAATCACCTCTTTTATGTCTTCTTCATCTCGGGAGGCTTTTTCAGTTGATTCATAACAATTTGCTTTTGTATAATGTTATTATTATTAGCAGTATTATTTATTATATCCATATTTATATTTGTTTTATTAAAACAAGCTTAGATTTGCCCACCTGTCAGAAATTAATTATGTGCAGGCTAATGTATGTCTGTGGGTACAACATGTTTCCCTATCCATGAGAGCGAAAGTGAAAGTAAATAATGAGGAGGCTCATCTCTCATTCTCCTGCTGCAGATGCTCTGTCTAACTGTTTTCTTACTAGTGAAATGCTCAGTTTTTCAACTTACAAAGTCTGTCATGTAAATAGCAAATGCACTATGGCACAAAGGGAAAAGGAGATGAGACGAGAGATGATTGGTTTATTCAAAAAGGGAAAAGGTCATGAGATGAGAGATGATTGGTTTATTCTCAAAACTGTTAAACCATGTGCCACAGCACAAAGTGGATTTTCCTGTCCTTATATTAGCAAAAGTGGATTCGGACACACCCTTAATGTTTTTGCGCCCTACGCTTTGGGCCTGGATCCTCAAAATAGAGCCCTTGGGGTTCATTGTCATTTTTTTTTTTCATCAAACCAAGCGCAAAAACACATGAGGAGGAAATAAGTCATAATCATAAGACATAATCTTTAACCTAATGACTTTTATTAAAAATGTTGACAGAGATTTTGTGAAATAATAATAACAGCGGAGCATTAATTAAATGCATATTTCCTGTGGAGCGATGGATTGAGGTAGCCTGATATTTTATTTGACAGAAGAAAAAGAAAACATGATTGGATAAACAGCGGGCCCTCAGCCTCCTCCACTGGACCAGCTCCTTCTTCTGGTACAAATGTCTTGAAAAGAAACGGTTTGCAGGAGATTGCTTACAACCCATTATAAAAGAAAAAAAATAAGTGATAATGGCATTGATTTCACTTCTAATCTTTAGTTTAGCAGTTCAGTTCTTTATTATTTTTTAGCATTTGTTGTTTAAGCACTTTAAGCAATTGTTATTGTTTAAAAAAAACACTTTATTTGACAGTACTTTTAAATAAATGGTGCAAAGCATAATCTCATATCTCAGTCTGTTTACCATTTTTTTAAATCACTTTAAGCTCTTGTTACTTTATTTTTGTCATTATCATCAATATTTTAAGTCTTTCTGTGCAGTTTCTCTCCACTAACACCCCCTCCCCCCCAAAAAAGTTCAGTTTTTTTACTTTAACCCCTGGTGAAATGCTCATTTTTTCCAATTAGACTTACTTTACGTCCAGTAATTAGCGAATGCGCTTATGGAGCGATGCAGCTGGCTCTTAAAGGTAATGGGAGATGAGACTCTAATTGGTTTATTGTCAAAACACACCTATAACTCATTAAGAAAATAAATTCAACCCTTTTAGACTATGCGCCACGGCACAAAAACTTGATGCATGTGTTTCATGATATATATGGGATGGGAAACGTCCTCGCATTAAACTGACTACTTTACAACTATGTAGATTACATGGAGGTCTTTCTTTTCCCAATTTTAGACTGTACGCACAAGCTTTTCCCCTCTGCCCTTTATCAGTTTGGTTTGATCCTGCACTTCTGTGTCTTGGAGAGCAATTGAGGAATCTTTTGTTAATCCATATAAATTAAATTCTCTTGTTTTTTCAGGGGTCCCACTTAAACAATGTAAATCTCATTTTGATCCTATTGTAACCCATCTCCTCTTTACATGGAGGGATGTAGAAAGACGTTTAAAACTAATCACAAAATGTCATAGGCATTCACCTATTTTCCGTAATAATAATTTTCTGTCACGCGGTACTCCATTTCATTTTCCGCAATGGTCTCATAATAAAGTAAACACT